ACATGGCAGTTCCCCATGAATCCCCTAAAACAGCACTTCATGCATGAGCAGCCATATGCCTTACCCGACAGATGTCACGTGAAGGAGGCTAAAAAGTTCATGTTTATTTCATCATAAAGCTAAAATGTGTGGCAAAGGTAAATAATGGATGCATACTATTTCTAATATAAAATTAACCTGTTATTTTGCCAGATATGACCTCAGAAACTATTTACTCATGCAAGGGATCTTTGCAACCTCAGCCAGGCATGCCTGGGAGCCACCACCTGGTTCCAGCTTGTTGCAAATCCATCATCATCATCAGGGGCCCTAGTGAAGAAGCAGGCTGGGGCTTAGACTCTGCACCCTGGGAAACCGGAGATGGTGATCTACAATGGGTCACTATCACAGACACTTGACAACATCTAGAGGGTCACAGGCTGACATGCTGTGTTTGTGCCTGACCAGACCATTGCATCAACATCACCATCATCACCTATTGGCTCTTGCGAGCAGAGTTAGGACATGTTGAGAAGGAATAATCACAGACAGCTCCTATTTTTTTTTATTCATCCACATGGGTAAGATTGTTGGAGTATAGGGAATCTTAAGAGCTTGTTTTTTCTTGGAAAGGTTTTTTTGTTTCCTGAAATTGCTCTGGGGTTATAAGGTGCTTCAGTGTAAATAGTACTTCGCTATGTTTTTTTTTTTTTATCACTCTAAAGCAATGTATGCATAACCACAAAGAAGAGCAGAAATGATAGGGAGAATAAAAGCATACTGTATATTTTTTATTTTTACCTCTAGAATTATGCTGGTTCAACTAAAACCTATAATTTTAGAAAGGCTAATTTTACTCTTATGAAAGCAAATTGTCTGGGATGTTGTCTTTGTAAGATAAATTCAGATGACTTGTGGATCTTCAAAAGGGTTCTGGATCAATGTACTTATGAGGAAATACCCCAGGGGGACAAAGGCAAAAGAAACACATAAAAACTAATATGACTTAAGAAAATAAAATAACCGAATACAAAGAAAGAGCAGGCGTTTCATTTAGATGCCAAGAGGACTGAAGACATAATTGAATTCCATTCCTCACACTCTGTTAACTATTTATTGAAGAGAATTTTCAACCAAGGAGAAAGACATATTTTAAGAATTTCGATTTTAAAGGGGATTGCCTAGAAAAACAGAAATTCCTTTTCATATATGAAATAGGATTTTTGTATGCGCCATAGATTTTTTTCTTGTACCCCATTGTGGGGCACAAGAAGTCGAAAACGATTGGGTTATACTTTCACCTCCAGATGGACTACCAAAACAAAAAAAAAAAAAGTAGGCCAGCCCAGAATAACTCCTCCTACCCCCCCCCCCCCCCCCCTTTCAACACATACACACACACACACACCCCTAGCATAGAAAAATGGGCCTGGTACTAGAATACTCACACTGGGAAGGATGTACAACATGAGGGGGGTACCTACCTTAAATCACAGGCCATAACATGGAATCCTGATTCATAGACCAATGTAGAGCAGGCCTACTTTATCCAACCAAAAAATGGAATGAAAAAAAGACCTTTTCAGCAAGGAAGGACTCATGGCCTTGGTGTGAACACAAAGAAGGACCTTCTCCAAAAGACTGGGATTGGCCAGAGGAACTAAAAAATTATGTCGAGGTAGGGAAAGCCAAAGACTCTAGGCTAGGGAAGCACTGCCAGAGCAGACATCCACCCTAGCCAGAGCAAGGACTACCCAGCAAGAATTCTGAGAATAACTTGGTTCAGATGTAGCTCAAAGGCATAGAACAGTGGTACCTGTGGTATCTGCACCCCCTTAGAGAACCAAGATTAGATCCTCCAGAGTTAGCAAGATCAATACAGCAGGAACATGGGGGCATCATACAAATAGTAAGCAGGGGATAGCAGGCAGTCCCCAGATCCAACAAAGCTACAGAATCCGTAGAGCAACCAACAAGAACCCTATCAAAACAGTGAAGGATATTCACCTAGGAAAATCTAAAACAGGGAACAGAGTCAGAAGGGCCTTCTTCATGATCCTGCAAAATACCCAGGGAGCATTAAATCATTCCCCTGTACTGTCAGAGGATACCAGCAGCAGAAAACAAGCCTGTTCATCAGGCAGACAGCCCAGGATGTCATGGGACCCCCCCTCTGATGTCAGCACAGGGTCTGAAATGCCCTTCAGAGCCACCAGTTGAGGCCTTAAAGTGATCAATGCGGACAGGACTATAACCCAAGTTGTTGTTCACATCAGAGACTCGCCTGATGTAAAAAAAAAAAACCTGACAATGTCACAACAAGAACTCCTATTCCTCCATAGAGAGGAAGAGACATCAGCAGTTTGACATTGTTCAGCAGTGTCCACATAAATAGATCTCACCAGGGAATAGCTGAAGGAGTAATGTAGGAGCAACCACTTATTCCGGAAGCCCACAATGAAGTGCATGAAATTAAGTAAGGTAGCATGATTGAATAATGATTAATCAGGCCAGGAAGGTAGTCTGTTCCGGAGCTAGACCCACAACAGCAGAGAGAAAGGCTGTGGTAGTCCAAGTGGAGATTGGAAAGAAGGGGAAGCCTCAGACAGGAAAGCCCCTCCACACCAGATTCTTTGGCAACACATGAGACACAGGGAACTTCCTGAACAATGAAGGGGCATGTGAGTAGAAACATGCTAAGGTCCCTGCTACAGATGGACCATACTGATCAAAACCATCTGCAGGTAAAAAATAGATTCCAGGCAAATCCTGTAAGCACAAAGCTTATCAGGGAAGTGTTGCCTCCTAAGGCTATGGCAGCTGTTCTCTCCAGAAAAGGTCGGAGTTCCCCACAATGGGGATGCCACTAGAAAGCACACTGGAGCCAATCTCCTGGCACACACTACTTAGCGAAATTAATTTAGAGTTCTGATAGAACAGGGAGCAGCCAGTGTTGGTCTTAGTTGACAGTGCAGATCATAGGATCCTTCTGGGGAGGGACAGGGATTGGGATTCTAGTGGATATTAAGCAATAATGAATTTTTTGCATGTCCCAAGTGAAACAAAAGGTAAAGGGCAGAGGATAAGCAGCATAAGAGAATGCCAGAGGCAAGGGGTTAGCTGAAATGCACTCTCTGCCCCCAAACACCTGGAGGGTAAACTACTTAAGAGTCTGAAGGGATAAACAATCATCCTCCCGCTACCGCAGGCTTTTCTGAGGCCTTAGCAAGTTGATTGCTTCCAAACTTGCAGGTGGCTGGAGAACCAGGCTTAGAGGGCCTAGTTGTGCATACTCCAAAAATAGATATAATTAAAGTCCTTACACTAGGGCAAGTGAACACTCTCACATCAAGTGGTATTGTGACAGGAGTGACTTTTGGGGGTGGGGGGGGGACCCCTGTCTCAACCTCCTGTTCCTCTTATGTCTAAGGCACCCTGTGCCTGTTAGGGGTACAGGGTGAAATGTTCTAATATTGGTGTGGGGATTGTTCATTGTTCTCTGCCATGCCACTGCATCCCATTGTTCTAGCAAACTATTATGGGATGTAATGTTTGTGTATTGGTGTGGGGGGGTTGTTCATTATTCACTGCCATGTGGTCCCATTGTTCTATTATGTGTTTGTGTATTGACTTGGTGGGGGGTGTTTCCAGCAGCCCTCCTGATGGGACTGTCTGTTGGGATGTGTCTCTGGTTGCTAAATTTGGTTTGCCCCACCCTGTGTCCTTATGCAGGGAGGTGGGTTGTTCCCTTGAATGTTTATATCTTGTGTCTGTGTAAAAATAAAGCAGTCCACTTCCTGTTTTAAGGAGAGTCTGGTGTTGTCTATTTCCTGTATGGTCAGGGTGATGCCCGTGGTTGGTGTTCGGACAGGGAAGCAGGAGTCTGACAGAAATACCCTAGTGCAGTTGGGGTCCTGTTCCGTTACAGGTATCCTTGATGATAATGTCAAGGGTACTTCTAATGAGACATCACCTCTTAAAGACCTAGCATGTCAGGTGCTTTTTGGATACAGCATCTGCCTCCAAGTACCTTAACCAGAGTTCTCTGTGCATTTTTATGGATAACAGACTCACTACCGCAGTGAAAAGATCACAGAATAGAGAGAAGGGAAGTGCCTGCCAGTGAGAACTGGGTATGAAAGAGCGATTCTAGCTGCTGGCCAGTAGAATTCTTAAAAGCAAAAAAACACTCCTACTGATCTAGTTGTTCCCCTGTTAAGGTGGGTCATTGGCAGACCTGCAATGGCAATGAGTATGGACCACTGTTTTACAAATCCCTTGCATGTGGGAACAATGAAATCAGAAAGAGTAAAAGCAATCTCTTGCAAATCTGAGGTAATGGCAAAAGACTGCAATTTCTCATAACAATCCCATCAGATAAACAATGAGGGAACCCTTAACCTGACTGCAACAGTTGACCTGGTTCATTCTAAGACCACAGGAAGATCAGAGCATGACACTGTATGGGAAGGCATGGGAATGGGTTTAGAACCTTGTGGTCAGCACCAGAGAGGAACTGGGTGAATTCAGCCACAAAATCTTGTGGCTGCAGTAGAGGTTCTTTATAAGGCAGGGACTCAACTTCACCTAGTGAAGCTGAGGACTCAAATGAGATAGATTCTTTAACCACTTGCCTACCAGGCACTTATACCCCCTTATTTACCAGGCCAATTTTCAGCTTTCAGCGCTGCCGCACTTTGATTGACAATTGCACGGTCATGCAACATTGTACCCATATGAAATTTTGATCATTTTTTTCTCACAAATAGAGCTTTCTTTTGGTGGTATTTAATCACTGGGCGCTTTACTTTTTGCGCTATAAATAAAAAAGTGCAAAAAATTTGAAAAAAAAAAAAAAAAGTTTCTTTGTTTCTATTATAAAATTTTTCAAACAGGCATTTTTTCTCCTTCACTGATATGCATTGATGAGGCAGCACTGATGGGCACTGATAGGCGGCACTGATAGGCAGCACTAAAGGGCACTGATAGGCAGTACTAATGAGGTGGCACGGATAGACGGCACTGATAGACAGCACTAATGAGGTGTCACAGATAGGCGGCACTGATAGGTGACACTGATTATGGGGTCCTGATAGACGGCACTGACTGGCATCACTGCTGGGCACTGACTGGCGGCACTGACTGGCACAACCCCTGGGCACTGACTGGTGGCACTGACTGGCAGCACTGCTGGGCTGCACTGGTGGGTGGCCACAGGTGGGTGGCATAGGTGGGTGGGCAAAGGTGGGTGGCACTGCTGGGCACATGTAGGTGGCACTTCTGGGCACAGGTAGGTGGCACTGCAGAGTGGCACAGGTGGGTGCACTGCTGGGCACAGGTGGGTGATCTGCTGGGCACAGGTGGGCGGAGCTAGTGGGCGCACTGCTGGGCACAGGTGGGCGGAACTTGCGGGTGGCACTGCTGGGCACCGATCATCAGGGCACTGATCATCAGTGCCCTGATGATCGGTGCCGATCCCCGCTCTGACAACTGCGGTTCTCGGCAGTACTTTCCTCACGATCTGACAGCGTGAGGAAAGTGCAGCAGAGAACCGGCACTTGCATTTCCCTCTGATCAGCGTGTCATTGGACACCGCTGATCAGGTGGTAAAAGGCCGCTGTGATTGGCCTTTTACCACATCACGTGATCAGCTGTGTCCGTAGGACACGGAGATCGCCGGGTGCGCGCCCCCTGGGGCGCGCAGGAGAGCGCGTTCTGGGGGGACGTCATATGACGTCCACTCATAACTGGCCGGCCGCAGTGAAGCCGTCATTCGGCTATCTGCGGTCGGCAGGTAGTTAAACACAGGGAAACAAGATTCCAGATTACAGACATTATTGCTATCAGAGGGTACAGAGCAACATCCTCAAATATTTTAGGGGAGTGTGAGCTGGTATATCTGGTTACAGAGGGACTATCTCATCTGATACAGATGTGTTGAATGATTAGAGTTGACCAATGTCACTGTAGTTGGACATTGGGAAAAGGACCAGAGATCACAGTTCTTTGCAAAGCAGGAATTGCAGCAGGATGATGCCTCCTTAGTGTTGAATGGCGGGAAATAGAGCATGCATGACACCCCACATTAGCGTATGATATCAGCACTTAGCCATAACCCCTTCTGTGGTAAAACCATTGGAAAGCAGTACATTTAAAGGTACACAGTAGTGCAAATAACAAGGTTTGTACTCTTCACAGAATGAATCTTCAGAAACAGGGCAAGCAAAGAGGAAATGCCAACGATTTTGGACCTGGAAAACAATCCACAGCTAACTTCTTACCAGACTGGCGTCTGGAAAGTGCCTAATGTGGACCCCAGTACCCAAAAGGTCACTTCTATGCATGCAAGTTCTGGGTACAGCACTCCAAAGCTAGGCTAGGAAAGGCCAACCTGGATAACTGCTACTGTAGTGACCAGCTCAAGCAGATTTTTGAAACAGTTGAAGAGTGAGGAATAGGGGTAGTCTAGGAGTGGTCTATGTAATTTTTTTTTAGCTTGCCAGTATCCAATCCTCCTGTAGGCAACACTTTACCCAACAGTAAATGATTCCCAGTGTTCCTAAATGGACAAGAAAGAAATTTTATATTTTGCGGAATAAAATAAATGAAAGTAGACCTATATTCAAATGTAATCTTAGAAAGACCCCTGCTTTGCCCATGTAGTGAAAAGCAACAGGTTCACTTTAACCCCCCTCCTTACACTACATACTCGTCTTTTCTTCACTGCCCTATTACTCAGTTCAGCTGCCAGGAGTAGGAGAAACTACTCTGTGTAAACTCTGGGTTCGTTAAGTCTTAGCCTACAAAGTACTATGGACTTGCCGCATGTAAAAGCACTGGTATTTGGTGATTGTCATAGGGCTGTTACAAAGGAGAGCCTCATGCTCGTCTTCGCTTATCGTAAGTAAACATAGCGGTGGTGGGGGAGGCAAATTAAAGAAGAAGTGTGTGAATATAAAAAAATTAAACACATTTTACTACCCGCTGTAGCATCAGTCCGATGCTGCAAGCTATCCCCCGCCGGCTCTAAGCTTGAGAAGTGAGCGATCACATCACTTCTGATCATTTAGTTTTTGGATTTCAGTTTTACTTTAATTTGTTAGTGTATTTAAATCTGCTAGTGCATCTAATACTCCCTTCCCCCCACAATAACAATGCTTCTGTCCACAGGTGCCCTCTATACTCATTCATCTAGAGTGGGGGCACTCTATACAGGAGGTGTATTACTGGCCAGATCCCAAGGTGAAAACAGAGGGGAACAAAAGCCTAAGAAAAGAAAACTGGTGCAGCTACCACATCTAATTATTGGTAAGATACATTATATTACATTTTTGGTTTGGGGTTTAATACTGTTTTAAAGTGAAATTCCACTTTTGTTTGAAGTAAAAGTCCTCCAGGTGAACAATATTCTATACATTTCAAGAATTTTAGTAAAACTCAAGGTAGAAGTTATTTTCCTGCTGTGTAAATACCTACCAGTAACTTCCTCCATATTAAGTGCTAGTTAGAAGGAAGCAACATCTGAATTTATTAATAGTTTTAGAAAATAATAGGACCTGCAGATTGAAACAGAAAGGTATTTTTTTTACGCTCAATTTCAGAATGGCTTGCATAGCAATTACATGTTACGGTTTCTCTTCTATTATAAAACAGGACTTTAAATTATTACACTACCATTAGAGAAATATATGTATATTTTTTTTTTAAATCTATTTTCTCTTTACTTTGGTAAGATATGTATAAGTGCTGATGGTAATGAAAGAAAAAGTTTTTACATCCTTGATCCCGATTAGCAAATTACTTCTTCTAGTCCAAAAGAGCAGTTAAGTATTTTGTTATAATGATTGCTCTCACTGCCAGGATGCTGAGCTAATGCCCACAGTATCTTCATTATAAAAGTCTCCTGCTGTGACTAGATTTAATTAAACATTTCTGTCAGTATACCTTCCTACACAAACCTGTTAGGTAATATTACAAATTCATACAAAAACAACAGATTAAAAAGACTAAAAGCAAAATATTAATTTCCTTATTTTAAGGGACAAATCAGTTCTGGACAAATACCTAAATATTTCAGAAAAGGCATACAAAAAAAATTAAAATTAAAATAAAAAAGCAACCAAACGGTTGGAAAGTCTGTGCTCTCTGATAGCTCAGTATGGCCAGGCCTGGTGTGAAATTTGTGTTACATCTGAAATATTAGTCTAGGAGTGCATAGATTCTGCAGAAACATGTTATTTCACCCTATTAATGAATTCTGAGGAGCTAAGAGGTATTTTATTGGTGACTGCTTCTGAAAGCAAACCTGTGCTACAATGGAAAAAACACGACTAATCCACCATTGGCAGTACATAGACACCTTCAAGATCCCTTGTCCTTGCTAGAACTTTCATATGCGCATACTGACCAACCTTCCTAGGTTTAGGTACAGAACATACCTTGGTATACTTATTCAGTGCTCCTTACTTTTGCTAGGTAAAAAAAGGAAGTGGTTGCCATTTTTATGTTGCTTGTTTTTATGTAAGTAGACACTAAGGGGTTTGTTTACTAAAGCTGGAGAGTGCAAAATCAGGCTCACTGCTGCACAGAAACCAATGAGCTTCCAGGTTTTATTGCCAAATCCTAATTGATCAAGCTGAGGTTAGAAGCAAATTGATTTCTATGCAGAAGTGAGCCTGATTTTGCACTCTACAGTTTAGTAAATAAACCCCTAAAGGTCTTTAGCTGCCATTGTGCAAGTCTGGGCTTCTGGTATGTTCCTAGCCCTTTAACTACCTGCCGACCGCAGATAGCCGAATGACGGCTGCACTGCGGCCGGCCAGTTCTGGGTGGACGTCATATGACGTCCCCCCAGAACGCGCTCTCCTGCGCGCCCCAGGGGGCGCGCACCCGGCGATCTCCGTGATCGCTGTGTCCTACGGACACAGCTGATCACGAGATGTGGTAAAAGGCCGATCATACCGGCCTTTTACCACGTGATCAGCGGTGTCCAATGACACGCTGATCACAGGGAAATGCAAGTGCCGGTTCTCGGCTGCACTTTCCTCACGCTGTCAGATCGTGAGGAAAGTACTGCCGAGAACCGGCAGTTGTCAGAGCGGGGATCGGCACTGATGATCAGTGCCCTGATGATCGGTGCCCAGCAGTGACACCCGCAAGTTCCGCCCAGCAGTGCGCCCACTAGCTCCGCCCACCCGTGCCCAGCAGTGCACCCACCTGTGCCCAGCAGTGCACCCACCTGTGCCCAGCAGTGCCCCCACCTGTGCCCACCCACCTGTGCCCACCAGTGCCGCCCACCAGTGCCGCCCACCAGTGCCGCCCACCAGTGCCGCCCACCAGTGCCGCCCACCAGTGCCGCCCACCAGTGCCGCCCACCAGTGCCGCCCACCAGTGCCGCCCACCAGTGCCGCCCACCAGTGCCGCCAGTGCCGCCCACCAGTGCCGCCCACCAGTGCCCAGGGGTTGTGCCAGTCAGTGCCGCCAGTTAGTGCCCAGCAGTGATGCCAGTCAGTGCCGTCTATCAGTACCCATAATCAGTGCCGCCTATCAGTGCTGCATATCAGTGCCGCCTATCCGTGACCCCTAATTAGTGCTGTCTATCAGTGCCGCCTATCCGTGCCACCTCATTAGTACTGCCTATCAGTGCCCTTTAGTGCTGCCTATCAGTGCCCATCAGTGCCGCCTATCAGTGCCCATCAGTGCCGCCTCATCAACGCACATCAGTGATGGAGAAAAAATACCTGTTTGAAAACTTTTATAAAAGAAACAAATAAACTTTTTTTTTTTTTTTTCAAATTTTTTGCACTTTTTTTAATTTATAGCGCAAAAAGTAAAGCGCCCAGTGGCGATTAAATACCACCAAAAGAAAGCTCTATTTGTGAGAAAAAAATGATCAAAATTTCATATGGGTACAATGTTGCATGACCGCGCAATTGTCAATCAAAGTGCGGCAGCGCTGAAAGCTGAAAATTGGCCTGGTAAGGAAGGGGGTATAAGTGCCTGGTAGGCAAGTGGTTAATGACCACACTTTACAGAATGGCTTTGGCATTGCAGTGTGACGTTAGGTGTATTTGCAAATGTATGCAAAAAAGATAAAAATCAATTTTTAAATTGGTGTAGGCTTTGCTTTTTGCCGATTAGCTGGTAATTTTGTTGGGGTACGTTTTGAATTGTACTGTTCCTGGGTTGGGAACCTGGTCCCATTTTTCACCTCAAAAACATCACTATTAGCCCACCGATGTTGTAAACTGCCTCCCTGGCAAAACAGGTGTGAGAGTAGGGAGGAGGCAGATCCAGGCTTGTGACCCTTAAAGTTGGGTCACTATGTGCCCAGGGATTTAAGCCACCCAGTCTAACGAACAGGTCCTCTAGAGCAGGGGTAGGCAACCTTAAAGAGGTGGAGATCTACCTGAACAACATGGGAGAA